CTTCAACTACCTATAAAACATGAGAAAGTAAAATAGAGAGAAGAAAAACAATATAGAAAGGGCGAAAAGAAAGGAAAGGAAAACAAGATAACAATGAAAGAGGGTTCAGATATAAAATTAGAAGAAAAAAAAAGAAAACAAAAATCAACAACTGTGCTGATTAATGATTATTTAGTAGTAAGATTTTATATTGTTTTCTAAAGGAAGATATGAATTGTGATTTCGTTATTACTTGGGGAATCATATTCCACTGTTTAGGACCTAGATATCTCAGATTAGATTAGTAATTAGGCATTTCATTAATTAATAACATAACAAGCTTTTTTGTTCAGCCTTCATGAAGGACTCCCATCTTTGTGTGAATTAATTGAGTAATGTAGTAACCAGTATTTAATGAAAAACTCAAATGGTGGATCTTAGATGCAAAGTCAATAAAACATTTTCTTTCACATCCATCAAACCTTTTCCTTTCGGGGTTTGTGAGTTTCTAAAACATGCATGTAAAGTGAAAAACGTAACATATTTTCAAAGAGTCTCATATTATCATCAACATTTTTTTGTTGAAATGCAGAAGTATAAGATTCTTGACAATACCGCATAGTCGCATTGCGGTCGGGCGGACATTTTGTAAGAACATGTAAACAACATTGAGATTTGAATATGGGTATTTGATGAACATGTATTTACCTGGCAATAATTGACTCAATAATTCTCAAGTTATATATTATATACATTTTCTTGTTGGATATTTGTTAGGCAAAATTCCTCGTTGCCCCTTAAATATCGCTAATGACATCATTTAAAAGCATGTGTATATATTCAAAGACAGTCTTCATAACTTTGCATATCATATCTTGCTATTGCATGCAGGTCCTCAACTGGCGATATATGTAATGGACAATTATGGACAATTACTGACATGTATACTTGTTGAAATAATTTTTCCACATGACTGAATCTAAAATATGCACAAATTGAGTTAGTCATGTAATTAAATTTCCTTAAAATTAATTTCCATACATCAATTTTCTACCCATAAACATAATAATAGGTTACAAACATTATACACAAAATAGCAAACAAATCATATGACTTTACCTAAATTAAGTCATTAAATTAAAACAAAAATCCTAAAAATACTTAAATATATAAGTAGTATCTAGCAAGATATACAAAGGTCATAATATACCCTCCCTCCCCCTCTCCCCCCCCAAAAAAAAATAAAAATAAAAAATGTGCACTATATATCATGTGCATTATTATTAACAAATAATTAAGGTATTTTTAGAAGGTGTAGACTACATAAATACGTGTAAAGGAGAATCTTAAAACAATCAATATACTTGTATGCTTTGCCTGAAATTAAGATTTAATACAAACCGATTGATTTCTGCAAAGTACGCAAGAAAGACGAATTAATCAATTAATGAAAGGTAATAGTGGCCGTGGGGAATAAGGAGAATAATTTGAAGGGGGAGGTAACGCCTTGGTATTCATCAATGAACACATTAGTCGCTCTCAGACAAACATTTTCATGATCACCCTAACGTAGATCCCAATATGGAATAAAAGAGCGTCATTCGTTTGTAATTGAAACCCGGATTTAAGCCTTCTGGCCACTCCCAAGAACAAAACAGTTGATCAACAACCTCCTTAGCGCTCCGTGTATCTATGCCTGAGCTCAGGGTTCACAATAGGGGGAGCTACGCGGGCGGTGAGAGCAATGCGGGCCTCAGATGCCCTTGTTCTGCGGCTTATAGAAAAGCTTCTGAAGAGCTTTTTCTTTTACACGCAAACGAGCACTATTACCTGGTTGAGTTGTTCTTCCTATACACTAATCTCTTAATTAACTTTTTGTTAAAGCTTGATCAGAAATCTTTTTTTTAGATTGAATAGGTATCTAACATCCTTAATAACTATTGTTTTTGATGGGGTTAGTATAGATTTCGTTTGATTCATTTTTAAGATACATGTATGAATGTTCAAGAGAAGAAAAAAAAACTCATGTTTAATCTTCATCTTGATTTCAACTCAGATTCCATATGAAATATTGTGTTTGGTTCAGTTTTCCATGCCACATGTTCGCGTAGTCCCATATACATCTATCTATCTGTGAACAGTGATTGTAACTTTACGAAGACTGGGCCAAATTTCTTATCATTTTGATCATTCAAGAACCTTGCAGTACACACCAATAACGATGATCAACTTTTTCTGATCAATTCCACAACGTTTATTTCACAATGCAATCGCATGACCAGAACTCAACTTTATCTTCAATATTAAATTGTATTTAATGTCCATACACTACGAGTGTATATATTATTATGTTGAACATGCAGTACAAGAGGTTCGAACTTGTTCGTAATTGTCTCACAGAAGTTTTTTCATGTTGGAATTTAAGAAAGGTATATTATCAAATTCCAGCCATAACAAAAAACCTTCTAACCAGTGTCATGTAAGAAACTCACAGTATTTATAATTGTATTATTTTTTTGGTATTTTAATTTGCAAACTTGTAAACAAAGTGATTAAGCAGTATTATTATCATACCGTTTCACTGTACATATTTCTGTCGATTGAATATTATAATATATAGCCTACATTAGCTCATCAAAGAGTTTGAGAGACATGTTCGTTCAAGTGAGTTCATAATAGTTTCATATTGGACGCTTTTTCTTGCAGAAGATTTCATTTCATTTCAAAAGATAGTGATTAAGCACAAATTAGTACAGACTTCTTTTATTAGGCAGTCATATACTTTTTTTGGGTAATGTTATTGCTAAATGAATGTTGGATGAGCCTTTATCTTGCATTGCGTAATGTAAAAAGGAATAGATTCAACTGGAAATTAGCATCTTTTCAGATTATGTTGAATCTGGTACAACATTTATACTATACAAACTATATCATTTGCATGGCGTGTCTAACTATACGCCACTGTGTTTGTGTATATTATGCTCCGTACGGTGCGGCGCCAATTACCTATAGAAAGCCCTATGTTGAAAATGTCCCTCCCTCTTTTTACTACTCCCCCAACCCCTCTCTCTCTCTCTCTCTCTCTCTCCTCTCTCCTTCCTCTCCCTTCCCCTATTCATTTCTGTAAAAACAACCTAGCTTCTCTCTTCCTCTTTCCTACACACACATAACACACTCTCTCTCTCTCTCTCTCTCTCTCTCTCTCGTATGTTTGTGTGTTTCTCTCTCTCATCTCTCCACACGTGTACATACACAAAATTAATGATGATCAAATGCACACTCTTTGTTTATAAAATCCACTAAATGTTATCAATTATGTCCCTCATAAATTGGAGACAACTGTACATATCTTTTTCTTCTCATCTAGTCATTAGATAACAGCTTCTCAAATATATACTTCCCTGTATTAAGTCTATGTTTTATATGTCATGGTATTATTTTGATTCCCCCTTGTTATCAATGAAGTTTTCGTAATAGATACAAATACGTAGGCGCACTGATATGATTCCCAGACGTATTTATATTAAGCTAGATAGTGATGATCACTTTTCCTTTCACATTTCACCTAATTAAGATATATTGAAATGAGTTGTTAATGGTATATATATCGCTAAGTACGTTCCTGTAATGTACACCACATTAGTGTTCATAAGCTCAAAATGACGATTCTCATGATTTTTACGGCGCCTCAAATCTGATAAAACATTCAAATGAGAAAACTGTGTTAATAATAATAATAATAATAATTACATTATAGGGCGCTTTATAAAGGCGTTTCTAAGCGCACACTTTGTGTTACTTTATGTCGAATAATTAAAATCATCTTGACTTGTGTATTTAAGAACACTGTCACTGATATCCAATTCTCTCACGATCTTGTCACCTTCATGCTAAACTTTTACTTTTCACTATCGTGTTATGTTTGTATACAGTGAAATAGCATGTTAGTACATGTACTAAAACCTGTTTGATATGTTTTTCCACTTGATATGATACATACACGATGTACCATACACCTGAGGGCAACGACCCCAAAAAGATGCCTGGCTTTTAACGTAAAACGGAGCTCAATTTCATCTGCTTTTATCGATAAATCCAATTAGCCTTCTTATGATCAGTGACTAATCAAGATATACCCAAAGAAATATCACCGAACTCACAGCGCTACCTTTAATGTTCCTTAAATACCTTACAAGAAACTCTCTAAGTTGATCTTCGAATTAAACTGAAAATCGAAACTCTCTTTTTGTTGTTTATTTTTAGTGTGCGTTTGCCATCCCGACATCTTTGTGAGTAAATAATATGGAGCATTGTGATGATGTAGACTAGTGTAGGAGCTAAGCTTTTCTATTAGTCGAATGAAAGGAAGATTTGGGAAGATACAACGCCAAGGGCTCGTAAAATGGTACACAGACTTCAGTGAATGCATGGATAGCCAGAAAGCTGTAAAGTTAAAGAAACAAAGTATATGGTATTAACAGGATATTTGGAGGGGAGACAAAAGTATGAAGAGTTTCAATGACGACTGGCTTTCTTTTCGAATCTTCGCCCTTTATCACGTCGGCGATCAGAAAGCGAAAGCTGTAAGAAAGGAATAAGACGATCCAATTTGTGTCATGAATAGATATCAGTGTCTCATCCCCAGCATCTATATCAACGAGCCTTTTATATTGTTCATAGGGGGTCGAGCGCGGTGCCACTGTGTGCTATTGACGTGTAAATGAGCGAGCCTTTTCAACTTGACTGGTTCGATAGAACGCGCTTTTGTTGTTTTTATTTGCCCGCCGTGTCCGCACGCCATTGTGCGCGCTCGCTATTGATGACTCCGTGTAATGGAGCTTTGATTATTACATCGTTTAGAGTCTTCGGCTTGGAAGCGGCTATTAGCATAACAAGAGGGGGAACGCCCCCTCATTGGTGCGCAAAGTTCAAAAGCACTACCCCCTTATTGGGTGTTACCTAATCTCGTAAGGTCATGAATTATTTTAACTCACCGTATTTATATCGGAAGAAAGCAGCATTATCATCATTCTACAATTTCGTCACCCAAGAGAGAAGTTATCATGTCTTCATGTTTTCAAGCCGCCCCGATGAGAAAGTGAACTCGTCTGCATTGTTAATGTGCTACTGATATCAGTTGTAACTTGATACGCAAGTGGTGTTTATAATCACATCCTTTAAATATCGCCGTCGAAAATATCACTTGGACATTTTCTTACTCTGCCGGTTTCGACAACCACTTCGTCAGTGAGCCTGACTGGAGAAGCACTTTCTGACCGGTCGACATCAATTTCCGAAAGTCAAAGAGCGCCGACGATAAATTGATGTTTAGATATTTCATCCAATCGAGAGAGAGAAAGTTTTAGGACTAGTGCTTCTCGTCCCGATTTGATTTGGAGTTGATTTAAAGTCGAGGATTGGTCGACAGCAAGCAAACATTGATCGAGTGGTTTCTGTTTAACATGGACAAGAGTTTCTCCAGCACCATGCTCCCCACGACTGAGAACCATCATCAAGATTCTAACAACAACGTTACCACCACACCCAGAGCATCACCCGGTGGCGTAGCAGCCCCGTCTGAAGCTCGTCATCATACGCTCTTTATGCCCTACGCCGATGTTTCAACCAGCAGTTCATCCAAGACTTCATCAGCTGCTGCTGTCATCATGAGTCGGACAAACACGGGCGGTGACGTCGCCGTTCCCTCCACCATCGGCCATCACCCAACCATGCTACCGTTCCCGATATCGCACGCCATCCCCTCAGCACAGACCCTGGACTTTCGTCACCCGGCCCATCATCATCATCCTCTGTCTCGATCACCAAGTCCTCCCGTCAAGGGCGAGCATCTCAGCGGCGACGAACACCAGGACTCTATACTAAACGGTCACGACTACTCCCGGGAGTCTAGCCCACTGGGGAAGTGGGATGACCGTTTGTCACCGGACAGCTGCTCCGACAACCTGGAGTTTGGGCTCCACAAGAACGACTTAAATTCTGCACTCAGAGGTAAGTCAATGAGTTATAGCTTCTCATCTCTTCTCTTCTTTAACAAGGTTGATCGAAACTAAAAGATATTTAATGTTTTCATGACATAATTTGCAAATCCTCAAATTATCTCCGAATAGATCTGATAGATATATTTATCAGTTAAAGTTAAACTTTAAACATTGCACATGTATATAAAAACAACATACTATATTGTTTTTATTGCTGCTTATAAGTATCGGCTTGCATGATGATGTATATGTATATATTGTGTTGTACATGTTTACAGATTAACTGATAAACTGATTTATATACACATTGTAACTTGCAGTTACCACGAATAATGATACTGGAAGGTTTAATAAATGTAATTTATATTTCAAAAGGGGTTTTTGCTTGTGGTTTCTTCGGTTTCAGTTAGGTACACGACTTGTGTTTGAACAGAGAACAAGCTTGGGTTTAGAAATTCAATTTTTCAGCTGATTACTCCGGCACTTGTCGTGCGTCACGCCACAACGACCGGGGGACGCGAGACCAGCGTCCCGCTCTAATCATATAGAAAATAATAATTAGACACGCGCATTAATAATCGCATGATCATGGTTATGTACGTGTTGGTAGATTTGACATGCAAAGATATTCCTCTCGCATTCACGCCCATGATTTTACACCCTATGATTTCACATCATGGGCGATAATTATGGGGGAAGTCAACATGGCAATACAAGCCCAAAAGTGTCAGTTGCACTTTTTTATTAATAAGCTATTGATTAGTCAGGGTTGGTTTGTTGGTATGCCCATTCAAAAGTGGTCATAGTTTTAATTGTGATGATGATGACGGCGTATTTATTTCGGAGTAAAACTGTGATGTAAAGTTAGAAATGTGTTGTGATACCATTCATTTTAGTAACAAAAAAGACACCAAAAAGAGTCTCCCTTATTCTTCAAATGTATCTCAAATAAAAGTTAAAAACTTTAAACTAAGCTTTTACTTTTCAATCGCTATCCATAAAACGAATATTCGTGTTATTCGATTAGTTTACATGCCATTTTTTAAAACTTCTACTTTAAAAAAATAGATTTTTGTTGAAATCGCCCGAAAAGAAATAAGCATACATATTTTCTTTTATTATACTATAACCAAATTAAAATTTGAGGACCTTTTAAATGTCTAATTTTCGATTGGTATTGATCTCGTCTGGTTTTCACGAGATCATATACCTGGTCGTCTCTTCTTTCTGCAATACAATGTATTTTAGAGGAACACATCATTAACAAATTTGAAATTTTATTCATTTCTCCCTACTACAGCCGACCCGCTAGACCCATCGCAGGTTCGCCGGTACCGCACCGCATTTACCCGGGAGCAGATCGGGCGCTTGGAGAAGGAGTTCGCCCGTGAGAACTACGTGTCCCGGCCCAAGCGATGCGAGTTGGCCACCGCTCTTAACCTGCCAGAAACCACCATTAAGGTATGTAGTTTCTCAGCTCTTTGTCGAAAGAATTGTAAATCATTCTTTTGAGTTTCAGTGACATGATATATTTCGTTTCTTTACGAAAGAGAAATTATTAAGAGAATGATTATAAATTTAAAAAGACGAACAAATTCAAAACAATTTTTCTTTCAGCAAAACATTCTATTGACTTCAAATTGTTTTAGATACCCTACATTTCACATTTAAATTGTCAATTAAAATACGTAATAAGCAATAAAGACTATATTTCTCCTTATTCTCTAACATTTGAATGTAAAAGGATCGTATTCAATATATTAAACTTTTCAATGATTAATTTTGAACCACAAAGAGATTCAAAATGTGCAAGCATTGAATATATTTTATGGGGACAGGATTTAATATGTTAGAATACCATATAATTGTGACTTTTGCAATTGATCCGATTACCCTCTACTTGTATAAGTAGTATAAAGTCACAATTATATTATTTGAAGTCGATTGAATGTTTTGCTGAAAAACTTTTGTTTTCAATTTTTAATCATTCTCTGATTATATACAAGTAGAGGGTAATCAGATCAATTGCATCCCTTCTTTTCAAACACACATTATTTACATTTAATTTACCTATTAATATTTGAAGTAACTAAAAGTCAAAGACTTGGCGTCATTTTGGATAACATAATGGTGAATTCCTCGTTTTATAATTTCCCTCTTCGAACAAACTACGTCGAAGTTGGATTAGCATTAGTGCAACTCCCTTTTTAAGTGATTCGCTTCATTTGAAGGCCTTTCGTATTTTGCTTTTTGTTTTTTTTCCTTCCGGCTTAAATAGTTCCCTTTTTTCAAATTTGATCACCGTTTGATTATCCCTGAAAAAATATATTTCAGATCGTTAATCTGCCATGAGTCATTAATAAAGTAATGCAGCGTGAATAAGAAGATTTGTAACAATTATAATGTGCAGTTTCAATTACAAATACTGTCCTTCCAACATATCCAAGGTGCAAAAACAAAAACTATTTATTAAAAAAAAAAGTAGAAGTCATGTACACATGAATTCGTGGAGACTTGATTAAGTCGAGTCAAAGTTAAATGATGACACTTTCTACTTTGATGGTATCAAATTATCTATCTTTAAAATTATAATTAGATCATTTCGCGGTTACCCATGGTGAGTGAAGTAATACTCATGATCTCCCGCCTGTACTGTTTGTAATGCATGATGTACCAATTACATGACATATTTACACTTCCAATTTGTCTCCTCAAAGTAGTCGGAGCGTATTTAACCTGACAAGTAGATTCACCATGTGTTTAATTACAAGACAAACACAATTTACACTTGATTGACGATTACAGCATAGACCATCATTTAGCAATTACGTACTGCTAATTCCATCCCCTTCACCCATCCTTCAAGTTAGTTCCACGCACGCGGTCTAGCGTACAGCTGTCATGCCGAGCAGCCGAAGCTTCCCGGGTCGTGCGCTTCAATCATTCGAGCTAATTATTGCCCGCTCATGATTCCAGTGTACTTGAATGATAGAAATAATCTTGAAGCGGGATCGGGGTGATAGCGGAAATGAAGTAGCACTCATCGGGGGTTCTTATTTATTTAAACATCGAATAAGCGTGATGTGGTATCATCATCCAATTTTCCAGGTTTTAGGCATCTGTACTTTATGGTGTTCATGCTGTGCTTACAGCCGTCCCTAATTGCTATTGCTACATTAGCCTAGTTTGGTAACATGATGTAAGGGAGGTTTTTCAACCCATAATATTCGAATGCATCTTTCACTTTTGTTTTCTTTTTTCTTTCTTTTGTTCAGGTCTGGTTTCAGAATCGCCGTATGAAGGATAAGCGTCAACGCATGTCGATGTCTGCATGCTCCTGGCCGCACCACGCCCATTTCGACCATCACCTCTACTCACTCATGCTGGCTGGGAGACTGCCCCCATACACTTGCCACACCCCTTCTCCACTCAGCTACTACCACCCACTCGCTGGAGCTCCTGCACCTGTTGCTGCGGCCGACGCCTACTCACTCCACCTCCGATCGCGAGCAGAGCTTCTACATGGTCTCGGTGCACACCCTTACGCAAGACCGTTTCCAAACCCTGCTGCCGCCCACCACCAATCCGACATCCTAGCTGCTAGAGCCGCCGGTGCATCCCTCATCTTGCCACCAACCAACCTACCTCCACCAGCGGCCCATCCCGCAGTCTCAGCGTCATCCCCCTGCGGGTGTCACCACGCCCCAGGAGGATCGCCACACCGACACCCATCTCCGACGACCCCCATTACAAGCTCGACCACGCCCGTGAGCACATCCTCCCCGCACTCCAGTCCGGTCACTGGTACGCCAGATCATCCCGCCATTGTTCACGTTCCAGCGGTTTTGTCGACACCTCACTCGCACCCTGCGGTTCATCACCCTGGCCTAGCCCTCCAGATCCCCGGAGGTTTCTAAAAGACTTGACGTGAAAGACTGCTCTAGCTTGCCTACATTATGGACTTTGTGACTCACATTAGATTAATAAAGTTTTTATCATGTCTATATTAAAGAAAATTATTCATACACAAAGATCAATTCAATATGTTGCTAGGTCATGTTTGTAGCTTACCTTTTGAACTCCAAAGTATTGTATCATTGAAAACTTTGAAAATCCGTTGTTGAAATCGTCAGCTAAAAAGTGTTTAGTATAGGTTTAGCACTTTGCAGGGGCTACTTAAATTTCCTCTACGCACAAAATGTGTAGCCGTTTTGACGGGTATAAATTAATTTTGTTATTTTGTTGTTGTCTTGCCAGCTATTTGGTGAACCTGTATTAGAGGCAGTAAGTGGTTATGGGTTTATCCATGTACCCTGATGTATTAATATGTGAATATTATGAATATTGTATCTTATTTATTATGCGTATTCATGCAGACTGTGAATCAAGTGAATGTTTTGATTGAATTTCTCATTAATAAACTGAAATTAAAATTTATTTCAATTGTCTTGTCTCAGTGATGTGATGTGGCTTCTTCAAGAGAGAGAGAGTGAGAGGGTGATATATACATATACATTGAGCGAGAGAGAGCAATTTAAAAATGGAGGACGAGAAAAGAAAGATGTGTACTTTACTAACGGGAGAGAGGGAGAGTGAGAAAGACGAGGACACATAGAGAGAGATATAGAGAGAGAAGGAATAGCGCGAGTACGGGAAGTATAATACAGATGTATAAACATGCGCATGTATGTATATAATTATTTGAGTAAAGAATATAATGAAAAGACTCACCATTTCATCTGATAATGAATAATGTATATGTAAAAAGAAACATTTTACATTTTGGGCTAAGAAGAGAGAAAAAATTGGGGTGGTCATCATGGTCATGGAAGTATAAAAACTGACGTATACAATAGCAACATGACTTAATTTTAGATTTAAGCAAGATGAGAAAAGGATTATGAGCAGAGAAAAGTGCATGAACAAATAACATTAGGGCATGATGACAGGAAGAGACATATTTAAACAGATGTGGCGTATATGTTTTACCATGAGGAAAAGAGAGAGAAAGTATTCGGGGAGCATACATAAAAAGAGAAAGCAAATATTTTCTTTATTGTTTTCTTCAAACTAGAATTAATAGTTTATGAAAGAATGATGTGCTAAAGAGGACCTTTATGATTTTGGTCCGAGAGAGACAGGACCTGACATGACCCCAAAATATCCACAGATCTTAAACACGATGGATACTTTCCACCTGTGCATTTTAGAATAATCACTGCAAGTGATGGAGGTGTTTCATGAATACCTTTTGTTTGCCTCTTGATTAGAATACTTCACCTGTGTATCAGATAAATGTACTGTTGGTGCATAAATGAATACTGATTACATAACTTTCATAAGCAGGATCCGAGTATTCGTCTCAATGGTTTTACAATTTGGGTACGAATGACCTTTATCTGCCCATGCGCAAATCCTAATTACGAACTACAACATGGCTTTGGAGTATGGAAACTCAAATTTTGATTGGTCAAGGAATGTGAACGGAAAGCATGACTTTGGGGAGAAGTCCCCCGACCCCCCCCCCCAAAAAAAAGGAGAGAGAGAGAGGTATTGTTATTAAGAAACCAGTAAAAAGATGCCTGACAATTTTTAGAAAAAACTAAATTAAAAAAAAAAAGATATTGAAAAGGCATTAAAATGACTAAATCCACTATAGCACCGCTAAAAATGAAATTAATGATGTATAATATTGAAACAATGGCGACAGCTAAGTGTTAACAAAATTAATGCTTATACACACAAACGAAATATCAGCGTTACAATGATACTTAAAAACAGAGATAAAATTCAAACTTCTTTTCCAAATTTCTATTAGAAAAAAGGAGACCGAAAAAAGGAGAAAGAATTAAAATTAAAATTTGATATTTGTAATCATGCATCACATAATATGGAATAATTATTCTCGATCCATTTATAGGAGTATTATATTATTGTTATCATCTATTCATTGCTTTTTCTAAGTAGGGAGGCACTGCATTGAAATCATGGCTCATAACATTCACATTAAAAGCTCAATTTCATTCATCTTTTCATCTACTACAAGCTGTTAAAAGGGTCGATACAAGAATCTTTTCCGTTCAAGTTTCCCATTTTGAATTAAAGAGTGTGCATTTTGAGTCCAATTTGTGAAATTAGCGGATTTGAGCTAATGCTGTGCTGTATTGTCCATGGCCTCCTTTTCGCTAAAAGGCGAAACATATGTAATAAAATTAGCGAAATCTAAGTGCTTTCATATTGCCAATGATCCTACGTAACATCAAAGGGATTAGCAATGCGAATATAACGACCTAAATCAAGAGCTAGTTTTTTCAATGAACAGTCATATTTTCTGTCGCCTAAAATGGGAATTTAAAGAATTCATCGTCATATTTTGCGATGATTTGGCATGAGATGATGGCAAATAGAAGGTCATCTCGCTAAGCCGATTATTTTTTTCTTGATGCGTTAATTGTACATTATTGCCTGCCAGTAAATCTCCAGCCCATTTCCCAACGAATTTAACCTGCTTTCTCCAAGTTTCAAGGTTTTTTTATTTTATCTTTTGAAACAAAAACAAAATCACCATCAAAACATGCATAACAAGATCAAAAATGTGGGGCGCACAATATAAAATCATATTTACAAATGTATGTGGAAAGATGCAGTCAAATCAGTACGGGGATGGAGGCCGCACTGAAGCGAATTGAATTTCATTCATGAACGGGGCCCACCGCCGTTCGATTCGAAATGCAATTGAGCGCACGCGCTTTTAATGGAATATTTTGTCCCAAAATATATAGATAGATACATATGGCTATTATCGTCGCAGACGTACCACGCAGAAGGCACTCGGCGTATCAACGCGCTCGCAAGACGCCATTTTGTTTAGGCCACTCCCTCGGGAGCAAGATTTTGTTTGGGAAAAGAGGAGGACCCCAATTAATGATCTAGATCAATAAGAGCGCATCAGATATAAGCTACTCTCCCCATTTGATGAAAGGCCGAAAACGCGTCGAAGCGGGACTATTATTCATTTATTCATACATCCCCCATCCCTCCATATCCCCTCCCTTTCTCCCTCTCTCTCTCTTTATATATATATGTATATATCTTTATCTCTCTTTATATATCTCTCTCTCTATTTATCGCTCTCTGCCTCTCTCTGTCTCTGTCTCTTTCTCTCCCAGTATCCATATCTCGTATCCTTAAACCTTAGCACCATTTAGTCAACTAATCAATAACTTCAACTTTGACCATATCTTATTTCATAAATATCTCCTTGATGTGCTGGGTATTCAACATTCGACATGGGTAGACTCGTCGGCACCTACCCTATCACAGATAAGACTTAAATGATGCAGAGCAAAATGGCAACTATTACTTAGCTACCCTTTTTTTCTTCTTGACAAGGACATTTCTTGATTCAGATTTTTCACTTTAGTTTTGTCTATTTCTTTAATGACAAGAACGGATGACCGTTCTGTGTATAGTTAATGATAATAATCTGGATTCATATAGCGCTTAATGGGCCTACAGCTTTACAGGCTTGCTTTCATGTTTAGGTTCCATCTTAATTTTATTTCTCTTACTTAAATCAGTACTCTATATTGACCACTTATCTTTAAGTTACTTATTATGTATTATTGATTGTTATTTTATTACTACAAAAAATAACTTGTACTTTATTTTGAAATGTATAGGCTATGTAACATGAGAAATATGAAAATAAATGAAATGAAATGAAATGAAATAATACGAAATACTGTCGCTAAGCGATATTATAATAAATATTATTACCCCGTTCATCGGATGCATTTACACACAATGTGCACCATCTCCACTCACTAGGGAGTATTCCTGCCACATGGTCACCGTGAGGGCATATGGTAATTACTAACACAAACAAATTCGTCATCCTACCAAGTCCCCATTTTTCTCCTGGGTATGTAGTGGCAAATGTAGATTAATGCTTTGTCGAAAGATATTAGTGTCGTGTCGGGGCAATAATACTTTTGAATTTTTTGAAGACCTAACATGCAGATTGTTTGAATTAGTTAACGTAATTTGTATTTGACCACTGCTTTACCACTGAGCGTTCGCCTCTCATTATATCCCAGAACACCGATTAGGTCTTAGCAAATAATCAGACAGATAGATAGGTCGTGGGTTCGAACCCCGGCCGCGTCATACCAACAGACGTTAAAGGCCCGGTCACACAGCCTTTCGCGTCTGTATCGCGGGTAAAATTTCGCGATTTTTTTTTTTGCCCGCGGTTGCCCGTGGTGGAAAATGTGCAAAATTGGCTTACCCGCGGTTTACCCGTGGTATGCCCGCGGAACAGACGCCGGCGACTGTTCCGCGTCCTTATCGCGGGTGAAGCGCGGCGGTACCGCGGCCTACCACGCTTACACGCGGTACACACGCTAATGCACGTGATAACAACGCGGTACAGACGCGGAACAAACGTGCTATGACTGTGCTCCACCCGCGATTACCCGCTAAAATTTCGCGTCCAATTCCGCGTGTAACCACGTCTTAACCGCGGCCGTAGCACGTCCTAGCACGTTCGTTCCGCGTCTGTACCGCGTCTTTACCGCGTGTGTACCACGTGTACCGCCCGCGATTACCCGCGGTCTAAATTTTAGGGCAGAACTTTTTCGCGCGGCCAACCGCGTGTGAATTTCTTACCGCGTGTAACGACGGGTAAAGTACGGCTGTATCGCGTCTTTATCGCGACCTCAAAGCGTCCAAAGGCCCGGTCACACAGCCTTTCGCGTCTGTATCGCGGGTAAAATTTCGCGATTTTTTTTTGCCCGCGGTTGCCCGTGGTGGAAAATGTGCAAAATTGGCTTACCCGCGGTTTACCCGTGGTATGCCCGCGGAACAGACGCCGGCGACTGTTCCGCGTCCTTATCGCGGATGAAGCGCCGCGGTACCGCGGCCTACCACGCTTACACGCGGTACACACGCTAATGCACGTGATAACAACGCGGTACAGACGCGGAACAAACGTGCTATGACCGTGCTCCACCCGCGATTACCCGCTAAAATTTCGCGTCCAATTCCGCGTGTAACCACGTCTTAACCGCGGCCGTAGCACGTCCTAGCACGTTCGTTCCGCGTCTGTACCGCGTCTTTACCGCGTGTGTACCACGTGTACCGCCCGCGATTACCCGCGGTCTAAATTTTAGGGCAGAACTTTTTCGCGCGGCCAACCGCGTGTGAATTTCTTACCGCGTGTAACGACGGGTAAAGTACGGCTGTATCGCGTCTTTATCGCGACCTCAAAGCGTCCAAAGGCCCGGTCACACAGCCTTTCGCGTCTGTATCGCGGGTAAAATTTCGCGATTTTTTTTTGCCCGCGGTTGCCCGTGGTGGAAAATGTGCAAAATTGGCTTACCCGCGGTTTACCCGTGGTATGCCCGCGGAACAGACGCCGGCGACTGTTCCGCGTC